GTCCAGTGGAGTGTGGGGGCACGCGCACCCAGACGAGACCTCGCTGCTCCCTTGGTGGCTGTGAGTTGCGCGGCCGTCTCCAATTTCGTGGGTTCCTGTGAGGGCCAGTGGAGTCGGGGGCCACGCGCACCCAGACAAGACCTCGCTGCTCCCTGGGTGGCTGTGAGCTGCGCAACTGTCGCCACTCTCCGTCTCTCCGTGGTCTCCTGGGAGGTCCAGTGGAGTCGGGGGGCCGCGCGCACCCAGCTAAGACCTTGCTGCTCCCTGGGTGGCTGCGAACTGCGCACATTGCACCAGAGGTCCAGCAGAGTCGGGGGGCACGCGCACCCAGGCGAGACCTCGCGGCTCCCAGCGAGGCTGCGAAATGCACAATTGTTTGCATGTTCGTGCGCAAGGGCGTTGCGTAACTTCATGAGGTTGTTAAGACCCCTCCCGTTCTGGCAAAAGGGTCGCAGTCCCCGCGCCCTGGAAGCGTTGCCTCAGCCCTTTGGGAGATGGAGTTGGAGGGGACAAGTACACTTGTTACGACTACTACCACTAAGTAGTATTAGCCGTAGGCGTAGGACGACGACTGCTACCATCAATATTATCGCTGCTACTTAGACGACTACTACTACTACTACTACTACTACTACTACTACTACTACTACTACTACTACTATTACAACTACTACTACTACTACTACCACTACTACTACTACTACTTCTACTACTACTACTACTGCTACTACGACTACGTCTACGACTACGATTACTACGACTGCTACTGCTGCTACTGCTACTGCTACTACTACGACTACTACTACTACTACTACTACTACTACTACTACTACTACTACGGCTACGACTATTGCTACTGCCACTGCTACTACTACTACTACTACTATTACTACTACTACTACTACTACTACTACTACTACTACTACAACTACTACTACTACTACTACTACTACTACTACTACTACTACTACTACTACGACTACTAACTACTACTACTACTACTACTACTACTACTGCTACTACTACTACTACTACTACTACTACTACTACTACTACTACTACTACTACTACTACTACTACTACTACTACTACTACTACTACTACTACTACTACTACTACTACTACTACTACTACTACTACTACTACTACTACTACTACTACTACTACTACTACTACTACTACTACTACTACTGCTACTACTACTACTACTACTACTACTACTACTATTACTACAATCACCTCTACTTCGACAACTGCCACTACCACCACTACCACTACTACTACGACCTGTACAACAACTACTACTACTACTACTACTACTTCTACGACTACTACTAGTACTACGACGAGTACTACTACTACTACTACTGCTACTACGACTACGTCTACGACTACGATTACTACGACTGCTACTGCTGCTACTGCTACTACTACGACTACTATTACTACTACTACTACTACTACTACTACTACTACTACTACTACTACTACTACGGCTACCACTATTGCTACTGCCACTGCTACTAGTACTACTACGGCTAACTACGACGACGCTTAGTACTGCGACTAGTCTTGTAAGTGCTATTGCTACGACGACTGCAGCTACTATTACTACAAATACTACTACTACGGCTACTGCTACTGCGGCGATCCGTACTACTAATACTACCACTACTACTACTGCTACTACTTCTGCTACTACTACTACGACTACTGCTACTACTACTATTACTACTACTACTACTACTACGACGACTACTACTACTTCTACTACTACTTGCACGACTACTTCTACTACTACTACGACTTCCAGTGCTATTAATACGACTTCCACTGCTACTTCTAGAACTAGCGTTGCTACTGCTACTGCTGCTAGCACTACCACTATTACACTTACTATTGCTACTGCTACTACTACTACTGCTACTACTACTACTACTACTACTACTACTACTACTACTACTGCGACTACTACTATGACGACTACTGCTACTTCTACGACAGTGCTTACCATTACCACAACCTTTACTACTTCTATTCCTACTGTCACCACAGCTGCTATCAATATTGCTCCTACTACTTCTACTACTGCCGCGAGTATTTTGCGAGGACCACTACTACGACTACTACTACCACTACTACTACTACTACTACTACTACTACTACTACTGCTACTACTACGACTTCTACTACTACTACTACGGCTACTACTGCTACGGCAACTTTTATTGTTACGACTATTACTACTACTAATACCCACGCGAGTACTTCTTTTACGTCTACTGCCATTGCCACCACTACTTCTGCTTCGACTACTACGACGACGAGTACCACTTCGATTATGAGTAGTACTGCGACTACGGCGAATACCCGCACTATTGTTATTCCTACTACGATGGCTGTTATCACTAGTATTACCACGAACACTACGACTAGTGTTACTACTATTAGTAGCACTACGACTACCATCAAGACGATTACCCCTACTACTACTACTACT